AAGTGCAGAGGCAAAGGAAGTGATGTTTGGTGTGGACAATGGCAGTCTTAGGAAGTGAACAAATTACACGTTTCACTCTAAAAAAAAAGCTAGCTAGGAAGGGGCTGTTAGAGATAAAGAGCATCTTCTACTGAAGGGCTGTGGAAGGACCTACAGGAAGTTTGCATATCAGAGAACGCCCCATGGAAAATTATAGCAAGTAGAAAACAACATGCCATGCCTGATTCTGCCACAGCTTTATTGGGAAAGAATATAAAGCACACATATATTTATGCCTACTGACAAGCTTTATGGATTTGCTCACTACCTGACATTTGTAAACACTATAGCTTACACAATTTAGTTATCTCCTCTATGCATCAATTAGCACATCTCTAACACAGGACGAGTACAGGAGACCAACTATCTCTCTGCTGAAGTAAATGAAACATAAATATTTTAAACCTTGTATGTACAACCTTAAACCTGAAAGAATGGGTCTTTTCCAAAAAGACTAGGAAAATAAATGCTGATGAGGATATAAAGAAAAGAAACCTTTGTACAATAAAGATGGGAATGCAAATGATGACAGCTCTCATGGAAAATGTCACAGAGCTCCTCAAAAGTTAAAGCTGGGACCACAATATGACCCCCAAATCCCATTTCTGGGCATTGATCCAAAAGAAGTAGAGTAAGTAGCCCAAAGACTTGTCTTCCCTCCAATATCCATCACAGCATTATTCACAATAATCAAGATACAATGTCAGCCTAATTGTCCAACAACATATAAAAGGATAAAGAAAAAACAGGGCATATACACACACATTCAGTCTTTAACAGTTTTATTTAGGACAATACGGATGAGTCTGCAGGGCACCAAGTGAAGCGAAACAAGCCAGGAACGAAACAAAAGATAAATACCACATATTGTCATGTAAGAATGACCTCTAAACAAGTTGGGTAAATAAAAGAGAGGTTAAGAAGAGGACTATCAGTGTCTGAAAGTAATTGCAGGAAGGAGTTGGAAAATACTGGCCAAAAAGACATCATCTTGAAGACAGATGCATCAACTAGTGCTTGTAGACTAGAGGTAGCCATCAGTTTAAAAATACCTGAAACTGAACATGTATTTTCAAATATTTGTTGTCATCATGTGCAACCTAGATACAGCAAAGTATATATTGGCCAATTTCTGTTGAATATTTAATCACTTCCTTAAGCGTTTGTTTTTTTCATAGCCATTTCCTTTACCCAAGCATTCACTGAATCACTTTACATGTTGGAGTTTGTGTTTAAAAATGTCTTCCTGATAATGAAACATTAGCTCAATATGAAAAATATGTGAAAACATTATCAAGAAGAAACATATCTGTACTACTCCAACCAGAAGTAGTAATAGGGGAATCCTTTGCCATTGAGGTGGGTGAGGCAGACGGGCAACTAGTGAATCCCAGCTTGGCAGAACAGTCACCTTGGCAATAAAACTGCAGAAACCAGAAAAGGCACAACCGAGGAAAAGCCAAACTGTACTTCATAAATCATTAGAGGCTTGCAGTGAATAGATTCTGGGTTACAAATAATGTCTTCCCATAACTTGCTGTGTTCCAGAACCTTGATATATCTCTATCCGCTGGCTAACTGAATTCTCCCAACAGCCTGATGAGGAAAGCAGCACCCATTGGACAGAGGAGAAGAGTGAGGCACTAGAAACCTCAGCAAGTTGCTTGTCAGTTGGTGAAGAAGCATCAGAGCTAGATCTGCAGCCAAGGTCAACTGGCTTAGGAGCCTGCACTCACGATAGTGCCACTTCGTTTGTGTCAGAGATGCCACAGCCACTCAGAAAAGATACCCTAAACTAGTCATCATTCAGACAGCAAGGAAGCCTGGGAAACTGGCCCCGCTTGCTCCCCGCAAGAAGTACCCCTCAACTTGCCCTAGTGGGAATAGACCTTCCCTACAATTCTAACCTGGGGACTTCCACCACGCCTTCCTTCTGACCTGCTACTGTCATGTAAGAAGTTTGTTCTCCCTTCCTGTGCACACCTGCATTTCTGAAACTCATCTTAAGGCAACTACGTCAAAACTTCCCGCACTTTTCATTCTTTAAGCTCATCATACTTTACATTCTGCACCTTATCCATCTTAGAACAGCTAGAGCCTAAACTTCTGTATCAGCGAAGAATCTGTGACCTCAAGTGAGGTGTGCTGCTGGCGACTAAACAATATTAATTTCGTCAGATTTGATTGACACGCTGCTCTCTCTGTAATACCGCTCAGAAATTTACTCTCTTTCTGCCCAGCACTGAGTACTAGAAATGGTGTTTAAGGATTATCATGTAAATTTGCATTTTGGATGTTTGAAGATTTTGTCAATTTATTACAAATGCTTTCACTATTCTCTGGTTTCCAAAATGATTAAAGGTCCAGGCCAAGCACGAATTCCCAGAACATATAAAAAATGGACCAGCACCCCATTGCCAATGCCAAGGTTGCCAACTTCTTAGTTTACAGGTTTCTTAATGAGAACTTGCACTTTCCTGATCAATAAACAGCTTAGCTGGACAATTCCTCCTGGTACCCTCAGGAGTTATAAACTACAGCCCTACACATCAAAAAGGGAAGTGGCCTGCTCTCAGATTAGGCATTTTTTGCAATTCTGTAATGACTTGCCCTAAGATTAAAAACCATTCCAAAAAACTAATACCATTTTCTTAAAAGTGATTCCCAAGATCTAAACGGCATGTGCTCACACTCTCAAAAACATGGTCAAGAGAAGAGTAGAGCAAGAAAAACGAGAAGATCCAACCCATCGTTGTGATTTCACATTTGATAAAACAGACACCGATCTGTGCTTTGCACATCTCAGCTGACCTCCATGATGTCTAAATACAGTCTCTAGATTTTTTTAAGGCATAATTAACAAATTCTGTTTTTCTGTTGAAAAAAATTTGAGCTCCTCTTCTTTGAAAGGCAAAAGCCAATCAATCTTTTCCTCAAATGCTAATCCAAGCAATTAGAAATAGCACTAACTGACATGCAGAAGGGGCTGTGAGGGTGTTGGCTGCTGGCATTTTCTTCTGTTTCTTTCACCTGAACCTCCTGGCGATACAAATTCACAGAATTAATTACAAGGATACGGCTCGTGTGATCCATCTCTGGGACCAAGAGCTGGCCTTTAAAACCAGCAGAAAACCAGAGAACAATGTGAACGCTCAGGCACCAGCGGCTAAAATGCTTATTTCACCTGCTAGGACAAATGTGACAGATTGTTTTATGTGTAAGATGAATGCTCATTTTTGAGTTTTGGTAACAAAAATACAGTGCTCATTTGTATTGTTGTAAAGCTTGTAATGATACCCTGTAGGAAGAGTAATACTCAAAGCAGCATCCTAATTAAAAGGAAAAGTCAGTTGTCTTGCAAGATAATGCAAGAGGGCACATCAATTGTAAGTAAGATACATGGTAAAAATGAAAAAGACAGGCTAGATAGGAGAGGAATGAAATAAGATTTGGAAATGTGCTTCTTAAATGAACACAAATTGTGAGATAATGTCTCACTGAACAATAAAAATAACAAACCAGTGGCAAAGATGTAATGGAATTTCCTGTGCATACTATCTTAATCTTCATATAATTTTCCCCAGTGCACTCACATTTATTGAACTACTATGACCAATTCTTTTTCACTTTGTTCAAAGTTACCAAGAGAGTGTTCTTCGCTGTAAATAATCCCCTGATTATGAACATGAAAACGATCCAGAAATCGACCACAGTGTATAAAAGAAAAAATGACATAGCGTCTGCTCACAGCCAGAGCCTTACAAGAATGCCGAAGCATGTGCAACATCGTGGGAGAAGCGTAGTGAGAATACAGACAACCACCTTCCCACGTCCTCCTGCGCACTGCTCCTTTTCCCCCCTTGTCAGGATTTCAAAGCCCCCCATCTGCTGTGGGCTGGACAGAACACAGGGCTGCTGTCCAGGAAGGACGGACTAATAGACTGACATGACCTAAAGGCCTCAGGCTCTCACTGTGCAAAATGGGCAGAATATTTAACCTTCTAGTGTTAAGCCCATTGCAAACATGGTTTTCTAGTCAATGCTATTGACATAGGGCTGTGAGGGTCCCAAGTCAACTACTGGGAGAATTTGCTGGAGACAGACACCAAGTCCAGAGGGAACATTCTACCTGTTACTGACCCTAGTGGGGAGGCAGGGCAGAACTTCCCATTCTTGCAAGCTCCACACACACCAGATATTTCAACAAAGGTTATCCCGACCCCATCTTGATAGACACTCCTGTTGGCCAACCAATCTGTGTGTTTTTAAATCTTCTTATGTACCTAAAATTTAAAGAAATGTCCAAACACAGAAATAATGCCCAATTTCTTATTGGAATTTTTTTTCTTGCTGAACATCAACTCTCAAACACCTTTTTGGTGAAAGTCTAACTTCCTTTATTTCTTTTAAAAGCTTCATTAGCCAATAATAAGATGCACCTGTTCAACCATAGGTAAATGTAGGCCTCATGCATGGACAACTACATTACATTAAAAAGGTTGTCAATGAATTAATTTGTTGAAAGAAATACATAACTAAATCACACAATTAATTTTTAACCTTGGATTTTTACTGTTGATTCAGCACTAGAAAAATGATGAATCATGTCACAATTTGTCAACCAACATAGTTTATGTAATGAGAAGCAGATTCCTAAGCAAGTATTCCTGCAGTACTTGTAGTTTGTTGTTATAGTTGAGAATTACAAGTATTTTTGTACTTCCTCTCCTAGAAAAATTTCTAAGTTGAATTTTCCAAGTCTGATTTTTAATTTAAAAGAAATCAATACAGTCATAACATTCTACTTTTTAAAAAGCCTCACTGATCAAAATACAAGTACAGACTCTCACAAAGTACATGGCCAACTACTACAGATTCAGATTTTATAACAACAGATTTGCTGGGAAGAGTGGCCACTGAGATGACAGAGGCAAACCAGGGTTTTCTGAGCGGAGCAGCTCTCCGTTCAAACAGCAGGAGCCTCTTCTGGTGGCAGCTGGCAGCTGGCAGCCATCCTTCCTATGGCTTTTCTTCCAGGCCATTGTTTCGAATGACCTTGGCATACTCCTTGGCTGATTTGTAGGGGACTCGGGGTCTAGCCGGGTCTTCAAAATCAACGTGGTAGAGGCCAAACCGTACGCGGTATCCATCATTCCATTCAAAATTATCCAAAAGAGACCAGGCACAGTATATTTGAAGATTGACTTTGTCAATTTGGATAGCTGGAATTTTAAAAAGAGAGAGAAGAAAAGTTAGCATTTCTGGGACAGTTTCCTGGGAACACAGACGGATCAACTGGTATGTGGTGAGGCCTCCTTCTCCACTCAACAGGGCAGAGGATGAGACCTGTTTAGTTTTTCTCTTTTCCACAAAAAAACAAAATGTAAGGTAATGCTTGTGTTAATTAGCTTAATGGATCCCTTAGAGTACAAACAAATCAAAGCATCATGCTTTAAACTATAAATATCCATCATTTCTATTTACTAATTGTAAAAGAATTTCTTTTTCTAGTTTTCTGCTCGAATGCATCTGATGTGCATTTTTTTAGTAACTCCCAATTTTCAGACACCCCCCTCATACACACAAGTTCTCCACTAGTACTTAGTTTACTAAGCGAAGACACTGTCTAGAATGTCCCTGGTGGATTGGAAGAATGGATATATCATGTTAGGGGAAGCCCCAGTGTTTAGCATGCATGTCCATGGCCAAACTGAGACAGCTTTTGTGATTCTGGAAACAGAATCTCCCTGGAAGGTTCAGCACAAACCTCAGGCAGTAAATATGCCACACTGTGCAGGGACAAAAGCACAGTGGCATCCCATGTGAGTCGGCTTGAGTTGCTGTAACAGCAAAACTTCACACACAGGGTCCTTGTCAACAACAGGCATTGACTTCAAATGGCAACACATTTGATATCTTTAGAGCAGTTGCATCTTTCATTAGAGGTGACCATGTTCTCTTCTTCACATGGAAGAAGGAGTAACATCTCCTTTGTGTATCTTTTTTAGAAGGGCATGGATCTCACTCATGAGGATTTACATATTTTTTGCTTTCAAGATTTATTTATTTATTTATTTATTTATTTTTGAAAGTCAGATATACAGAGAGAAAGACAGAGGAAGATCTTCCATGTATGCTGATGCACTCCATAAGTGGCCACAATGACCAGAGCTGAGTTGATCCAAAGACAGAAGCCAGGAACTTCTTCTGGGTCTCCCATGTGGATGCAGGGTCCCAGGGCTTTGTGCCATCCTCGACTGCTTTCCCAGGCCACAGACAGGGAGCTGGATGAGAAGTGGGGCTAGTGGGTCACAAACCGGCGCCCATTTCACCTCTTAATTCCATTGAATCAGAGATAGCAAATTCCTTCTGCCCCACATCAAAAAGAATGACCTCTAAGTACTTCAAGAGCCAAAGCAATGGGGCCAGGTGCAATGGTTCAATTGGCTAACCCTCCCCATGGATTGGTGTCCTGGCTGCTCTGTGTCCCATCCAGCACCCTGTTTGAGGCCTGGGAAATCGGAGGAAGACGACTCAAAGCCTTGGGAACCTGCACCCACATGGGAGACCCGGAGGAAACTCCTGGCTCCTGGCTCTGGCTGTTGTGGTCATTTGGGGAGTGAACCAGAAGATAGGAGTTCTTTCTCTTTGTCTCTCCTTCTCTCTATAACTCTGTCTTTCCAATAAAATAATAAATCTATAAAGAAAAGAGCCAAAGCAACGATCATCTCTTCCCAAACCCATATGTGCCCAAATAAATTTTCTATATCACTTTTTATGGGTTACCCAAGAGCCCATCCACAGATTTGGGAGTTGATATGTCAAAGTGACAAAGTGCTATATGCTGCCTTCCATCATTTCCATCCATGAGTTGATCTCATTTTTCTTCCTATTTTATGTTTTGCAAAATTCTGAGGTTATATAACTCTTTGCATTGAACATGTCCTTTTTAGATCTATAAGAAGTAAACCTAATCTATGGGAAGGACAAATACTTTCAGTGCAAAAATTAAGTGAAAACACAAGTTTGCTTTACAAGTTATTCATATCCTAAGTAAGCAGTGTGGAAATGAACATTCATGTGATAAACCAGACCTTAATTATATTGACAATTGCTTTCAACCAAAATGATGCCTCTAGATAAATGCCCAGCATAGTAAGTTCCACTCTTCTTCTTAAAATTTTTTTTTCTTTAATTTATTTACTTGAAAGTCAAAGTTACAGAGAGAGGAACAGTTCAGTAAAGTAAGCTAGCTTCCACCTGCTGGTTCATTCTCTGGATGGCTGCGATGGTCAGAGCTGGGCCAGGCCAGAGTCAGGGACCATCAGCTTCATCCGGGTCTCCCACATGGGTGACAGAAACCCACGTATTTGGGCCATCTTCTGCTTCTTTTCCCAGGCTATTATCAAGACGCTGGCTCAGAAGGAGGGCAACCAAGATACAAACCTTGCCTTCACTGGATTCCAGTATCTTGGGTGGCAGCTTTGCAAGCTATACCACAACACAGGGTGCGTCTTAATTCTTCTTCAGTGTCAATCTGTGTTTTTTCCCTGCCTGTCTACCTTGTTGATCATGTGTCTTCCACTCTCTATCAAGGTGAAGCTGCTTTTCTAACTTACAAAAACCTAGCCTTGAATTCCAGGAGGCCATACATATAAGCATCACAACAGTCAAGGTTAAATAGTCACCCCAAAGCAACTGTTTCCATTGCCTTGTGATTCAACTTGGGCGTGTGTGACTGCGTATTTTCTTTTTTGTTTGCAGAACTACCTCATGAGGAAGTCTGCCAGGTGTACAGTCAGATAGTTTCTGAAAACAAATACAACCCCACTGATCACACAGAAAAGAATTGATTCATGTGCAAAACCAGGGGATTAAAAACCGGAGCCCTGCCTGCCTGGAAAGGAACAAAAAGGAAATCTTGACAATTTCACTGTTAACTGCCAGGAGTTCCATAGCAAATGCTATACTGCCTGAATGACACTGGTAGATGTCTGTGCCTTTTCATTGCAGGAACATTCAAGTAGAGAATTACCTAGTTAGGGCTGAGCAACTAGGCTGCTGGAATCCTTCTCACCGTGCCACCCCTGGGAAAAATTACAAAACCACACTGGAACCTGCACGCCTCTCCTCTTCCAATCTCCTCAGGAACGTACGGCAACATCATCACATTTCTTGTCACCATGATTTATAAGGTCTCAAGTCTTGGTAGAGAAAAAAAACGCTAATGTGACTTCACTTTCTGTCTTAAACCAGAATCAGAGGCCAAATAAACACAGACCAACAGGAGCTTTAGCTGGATGCACAGTACGCTGGAATAAAATGACATCATTCTAGAGTCTCAGATTATAGATTATAAGGCCAATGGAAAGGGCTTCACAGTCAGTAGGCTGGATGCAAAAATACAAGGACAAAAAGAGCTAAGCTTATTGGGATGTTAATAACTGTCAGGTTGTTCTAGTGATCAAAATGCATGCTGGTGTAGTACTCTGCACACGCACACATATACACACCACCAAACTGAAACTACTGAAGACACATTCTCAATTATAAGACCATACCAACTGCAAGTTCAAGCAGTTTCTAACATCATGCTGAATCTTGATAATTTCTTAGAAAACTCATGGTAATCTTCTATACCTGTAAGGATAGTTTACTATAGGCAAAGACCGAGATAGGACTCAACTAAAGAAATGCCAAAAACAGGGTCAGAGAGGTTTCAAGCATAAGCTTAGCTTTGGTTTCTACCTTTGAAATTGGAATGCATTTCACTTCTGGTGTTGACATGGGATGGCACACATTGGCAGCCACAAAAAGCACACCTGGGCATCAGGGTCTAACATCACTCCTGGGGGCGATATTACATTCCGATGAACTGACTGCCTATGTGAACAATGAACAAGTACATGTCCCTTGCCATGTGACACCTGGTGACACAAAGCAGCCATTGCAGATCCTCCAGTTGGCCTTCCTGGGATGAGCAGCCACCTCTCTAAGCAAAAATATTCTTACTGAGGGTAACAAAGATTACCTCCCGAGATCTGAGAACAAGGGCCACATCACAATGGAGACAAAGTCAAAATTTTCACAACATGCATTTACTTCAGAAACTCACCCATATTCCAGCTCTTCTGCCGGGGTGTCACCTTAACTCCCTGATCAAGCTCACTCCCAGCCACAGATCTTGTGCATGCCAATGGTTGCTCTGACCCAGCCCAGCATAATCCATCACCCAGCTTGGCTTTTGCCATCAGATGCTGTCGTCTGACTGGCCTAGCCTGCCCCCAGTCCCAACTCTTGCTGGTGGGTGCTACAGCCTAGCCCTGCCCAGCCTGTCCCCATCCCTGACTTTCATGCAAAGCAGTAGGTGTGATAGCCTAGCCTGGCTCAACCAGCTTGCACCTTGTTCTGGCTCCTGAAAATGTTAGTGTGCTTTGCTTTGATCTGGCCCTGCCCAGTCCAGCCCCTGCAGAGCCACGCTGCTACCCTCCCCACCATAACTGGTGGTCCACATGGGCATGCATACCTCAAGTATGTAAACATCATAAAAAATAAGATTAATTTATTATTTGAAAAAGGAAAGAAAGAAAAGAAACTCCTCCTTTCATAGTGCTTCTCTCGCGTTCTGGCTTATGAACCCTGTCTGCTCTGTTTGTCACATTTCAAAGCTCAACACCAATGTGAAACCTCTTCCACAATCCCTAGACTCAGCCTTTGTTTGAGACAATGGAGGACTCATGAATGCGGCAAGATTCAGACAAGCCATGTATCCACACTCCCATGCTGCTAAGACAAGAATCTGCGAAACGATTCAGGACAGTGCAAGGGGCACCTGGCTCATAGAAGAGAAACCCCAGGAATGAAACAGAGGAAAAAATAAATGCTCTAGGTTTCTGCAATCAGGTAATGGTCAGTTTCATTATTTGAGCAAATCCCCTAATAAAAATAAGTACAAAGTATAACATACTTTTAAGAAAATAAATCTTCCTCAAGACAATAGATAGCTGACAATTTAGAAGAGAATTATGAGGGCAAATGTGAAACGTGGACTTGATACCCACTGACACAGCACTTAATTTTCTGTGGCCTTTTCCAATATTAGGCAAGTTGACAAGGAGAAACACACCTAGGGTGAAGAATATGTCAAACAAAAGGCATACTAAATGTGAAATCTAGCAAGAACCCTTAGGCACAGAAAAGTAACACCTGCAAAAGACCAATC